AATTTTTCTTTCTTTCTTAGTTTAAATTAATTTCTTTCTTTGTGTAGTAATTTTTTGATGATAATTTATCACATGTACAACCCACCAACACAAGAAACGTGTTTTGCAATTAATGAACAAAATTAATGCCAGGCACGAGTGTATCATCGACCAGTCATCCAAGGCTAATTAGTGAATCCGTTCTTGTATCAGTATGATTGTTGATGTGTGCTATGAAACGGCTGCCAAAGAGAACAGGGAAAGGAGTTTATACAGGAAAAGTGACATGTCTTGAAAAGATTATATTTTATAAATCAATGCCACACCATGTACTATGGGGGCAATGTTCATGATAAACATTGTACATAAAATAGTCAAACTCAGAATAGCACATTAAAATTATTTTACAAATCAACTTTTTTGCTTATCACAAAAAGGGTGTGGGATGATTCCACGGCCCATCATCCAACCACCAAAGGTGGGGAGATACATACCCTACCCCCTCAGGATTTGTGTAAATGAGAAAAATAAATTATTGGCAACAGTACTTTTCAACATTAATAGTCTAAGGCCCGCCCCCAGGAAATGCTGTGTCAATACTATGGAGGTGACTTTACAACATTCTGTGTTGACCGGTCACTGCTGTTATACCCATTTCACTTTGTTAACCAATCAACTATGGCGATTACCTGACCACAAATAACGTGGGCGACTGCCCGTGGCAGCCTGCACCCCCAGCTCTGTTTTTTTATGACAAAAACCGCAAAACTCATTATAAAGAGTAAGTTCGGACAGGATTAAGGTACCAACTTTTACGACAGTGTGCTGGTAATGTGCTTCCTATTTTCTCATAGTATTGTCGTTATTTAGACTGTGTTTCGAGCAAAATTTGTTCCAAATATGTGAGATAAAAATGCATGACAACGGTCCAAATCGTCCCATCACTGTGTCATCCGAAAGCTTGCATGTTTACCCACCCACTGGTCCAGTTTCACTTCCATATTCTTGGAAGTCGGAGAATCACTCGTGAATGAAGGCCAGAGTTGTAACGCTTCCTATATTTTTCACACACATCCCTCCATTGTACGCTCGTCAGTCTGCCAATGAGCAAAGATGGGTCTCAATATTTGAGCTTAACAAGTATGAAAATTGTCCAAATGAACCCATCGTAGTGTCATCCGAAAGGATTTCTTTTCCCTATTTTTCAGGAATGACCTAAGTTACTCACGCTTCCTCTTTTCACTTCCCCCGTATGTATCCCCGTCAGACGGGTCCGCGACCTTCCACGTCTTGGTTATTTGTCTGTGTTGAACTGTAAGATCATGTTAAAACACCAAGTTTTGAAAAATTACACCTCGTTTTAGTGCTGTTATGTGGTTCTGTAACTTCTGTTTATATTCTTGTCAGAGGGGCGCCTCTAAGTTCTGGGTTAACCCTATGTTATCTATAATATCAATTTATTTTCAATAAATACGGGCGATTCACAATAGAGCACCTCCAAGAGTTTGCAACGCGTTGACCATTCACAGTGCGCGAAACCTGTCGACCCTGTCCAAACGCGCATCGGGTCGACAGATTTCGCGCGTTGTTATTGGCCAACGCGTTGCAAACTCTTGGTGGCGCACTATTGTGAATCGCCCGCATTGCCCAGTACATGTATCCGGTTTCTACGATTTGGGGAGAAAACGTGAGATATAAAACGACGTTTTAGTGCTGTTTCCAGGTTTTGTTCTCCCATATCTATGCTTGTTAGTCGGGCCCATCCACCCCTGGGTTATCTGTCTAGGCTATATTAAATAAGTTCTTAGAAAAAGAAAATTGTTTGAACAAATTATGCTTTGTTAGAATGGAGAATGGCAGGGCCTCAACATGCAATAGATGTTTCTCAAGTTGACCGTTTGGCAATAAAGGCAGATTATTTATTATGTTTTAATGCTGTTTTGTTCTGTACACACAAATTTGAAGAAAAACGTCAGATATGCAACGATGTTTTAGTGCTGTTACGTGTTCCGTGCACACTCCCTAGGCCTTTATGCTTGCTTGTCAAACGGGTCCTCATTCCTTAGTTAACTTACTGTGGAAAGACTCCACCACTCTCAAAATTGAGCTGCAAAGGTTGTAAAAAGTTTGTAAGGACTTTTGTAAGTCACAAACGCCAAAAAATATAACCCATGATATATACACATGTGCATTTTCGAGAATGACGTCATGCTCGTGGAATATAATAACCTTTTCCACTGAAACCAGAGATAGAGCCTTATACCAAACTAATGAGGATACAGCTGGGGAATTCATTATCGAATTTGACTACTCAGTACGTGGAAAATGATCAGAAACAGATGACCTATCCAAATGGTCATCACAGAGAAAAACTCTGAAAAAGGTTAAAATCACAAAGGAGGCGGGTAGGTCACTTGAATGACCTGTCCAGCTTTCTTGGAAAGGGCCAACCCAAGTTGTGAGAGCAGTAACTTAGTTGGACCCGCTTTAAAGGGGCAAACTCGACCGGGTCCGACAGCAAGCTTCGGCCACTTTGGAACATTGCTTTTATTGACACTTTGGTGAGAGTAAAATTGATTCAGCACAATTGAAAACCTGTTTAAACTTTAACAGAGAGAAATCTGATACTTCCTCTTTTTACATGTATAGGGGAGGGTTGGGCAAGTGGGTCATCGGGGCAACTGACCCACTCTTAGACCAAATTAAATTAAAAGGTTATGAAATTGACCGGTTGCGTTTAAACAACTATATATATTTTTTTAGAGATTAAGCTGAACATAAATTGAGGCCCAAGGGAAAAAATATATAAACTTGAAAAATAAACATGAAATCATGATTTAGGATGATAACTCCACACTTAGCTTAACATCCCAAAAACCAGAAATTACCTGACTGTAGGAGAGTTATAGGAATTTTCTAATTGATTTTTTTAAACGAACTCTGGTGCTTCTGAGATAATCACGATTGCCAATTTCAGTGTTTTATAATCAATTTACTCATTCCAAAATTCATTTCGTACTCTTCTGGTGGCATGCTTTAAGGTTTTATGATGTGGTCCACTTGCCCCAAGCGTGGGGTTAGTGGTCCACTTTTACATGAATTTCTAATGAGTTAATATTCATAAGTTTTATGGATGTAATTGATATCAACTGTTTGCAATAAACAAACAAGTGTTTGGGTCTTATTTTAAGAGTAGGTTTATCCTTTTCCTGCGTGGATTATTGAATATGGTTAGAATCAAGAATGTGCTTAACCCCCTATACAATGAAGACGGTCTTCCGCCAGTTCTGTTG